TCTCCGTTTACAAAAACATTCTTTCTGGAGATCCAACGCAAACCACGGTGCCGATCGACAAGACAATACTTCAATCAATACTGCCAGGCGATGGAAAGCACGTCCCCAAGTGGACCGCTTGGGATAAGGCGCCGCGCAACTCCGATTACCAAAAGGAGGTGTTTTACATTGCAAGAGAGGATGGTCGTATTATGTACGTGGTGCGAGGGCCAGCGGGCACTCTGGAGATCGATGAGGCTGGTGATTGGCAACACCGGATTGACACCTCCTTTTCATGCTTGGGTATCGACAACTCAGAAATGTCGCAGCAATACCCAGATCTTCTGATTGCCGGCGGGGCAAGCAATGATGGATTGCTTTGCAAAGTCGGTGCCTGGCCCACTGAGTACTCATATGCAGTACAATATCCAAGCGCAAATCAATTCTCCTTCGTCGATAGCATCCCAAATTGGACGCCTCTTACAGACCTTGTAGTAACCAAACTTTCTAGCCCACGCGCGTCAGACGAACGTCAACGATCTTCCATCTTTGTCGCAAACGGCAATAATCCACATGGAGAGATCTCGGAGCTGCGACGCGGCATACAAGCTGTTGTCGACGATAGTTTCAGCGGCATCAACGGCTGCGCTGGGATATGGGTGGTTGACCATGGCAGTCATATGGCAGACATCGAAGGCACGATGAGGAGACAGCATTATGCCATATTTTCAATAACGCTCCCGCCAGAGACTTTGGTAATCCGAATCGTCCGTACACAACCGGAGAGCCGTGCAGACTTCACTGGAGCATGGGAAGAGGGCTTCTGGGATAAGTTCCAAACACCCAGCGACGACGATCCGCTCGAAGACGATCTGATGCGAGAAGAGGAGACCATTTCAGCATGTCCTTGGTCTGACACGATATCGATCCAGATCACAAGGCGAGAGGCCCGCACTCTTCTTCGGCCAACATTGAGACAAATCGAGTCTTTGAAGTTTGACTCACCGTTGCTGTTGGCTGTCACCCATACTGCATGCCCTTTCATCGCGCTTGCGTCTCGAAAGAGCGGTCACGCGCTATTGGAGATCATACCAATCTCAAAGGGCGGCAACTTCGACCGATCAAACTCATTCCAATACCAGCTAGCTCATGATCCCACGTGCGTAGAGACACTGGAAATCGACGGCTTTCCATATGTGTTCGTCAGTACATTCGATTCGAAGGTCTTCCTCTTTCAGTACTCGTATAATGAGACCTCGTTGATGCTGGAAGACTCCTGGAAAGACCAAGATACCCTCAACGGTTCGCAGAAGCTCTGTGAGAGTGTTGCAGTTCTGAGCAAGGACGGTAAGAATGTTCTAGTATGCGCAATGCGGGATGGCACTCTTCTGAGTTCGCAAATCCACGTAGAGCACGGTGGTAAGTTTGAGTAGATCCTAGCACGAGACGCTTCTCACATCGTACAGTCTTATCACCCCCGTCCTGGAGCTCCACTCATATGGGCGCAGCTTCAGCCAAGATAACCCGCAGCGAAACAGATGTATCTGCAGCGTTTGTTTCTTGTGGATCAGATTTCTGCCGAGTGCGCCCCTCTTCAAGTGAATTCTCCTGTCTCGACATTGATTCTATATGGTTTACCGACCGCGGCCACCCCGAGTATAATCAATCGCCAGTATCGGCGATCTATCAACTGCCGTTCCTACCGAAACTGGACGTTGTTGGGAGGAACCTCGGCGGCTTTCTGTTTGCAGTCGCCGGAGATCGTCTTCTCTTCTCGCAACTGGATGCAGACGTAAAATGGTCAAGTCAGGATTTGCCTTCTACAATTCTGCACGACTCCAAGATCATTCCCAGGAAACTCATCACGGGTGCTAAGCCGAGCAATATACTGTACATGCAGAAGTTACGTCGAGTACTAGTGTCGACCATGGAAGCGAAAGAGAGACGAGGGCCACCTTCTGGCGAACGAGTCCTGCACTCATCGATCAAGCTACTGAGGGTGCGCGACGACAGACCGACCGATGACGTCGAGATCAAACAGGAGGTGGAAGCGCCGGTGGAGCGACTAGTCGTTGCTCAGGCTCCTTTGATGAATGCCGAGAGGGTATATTCCATCGTCGAATGGCAGTTCTTGAACAAAGACAGTAAGAGATACAATCTCATCATTGTCGGCACCGGGATCCAGACCGGCGCCTCGCAGCATAGTGGAAGGCGACTGATCTTCAACACTGGCAAATCGGGCTCTAAGCTGGATTTGCAGAAACAGTCGACATATAACGATCCAGTCTATGGCATAGCGCTGTGGGACAATCAGACGACAGTCAGTATCGTCGGGAAGTCTTTGTGCATCGATCGTTTCGACGAGGAAGCCGGTCGATGGTTTCAGCGTGGTAAAACAGATCTGCACTCTCCAGGTATCCACGTGTCTGTCATTCAGCCATTCGTCTACGTTTCGACGCTCCAGCACTCACATCTTTGTTTTAAAGTGGTGGAATCAGCACGACCTGATACTTTCGAGTTTGTGCGGGAGTTCTCTGATAGTGGTATGCGCAACTGCGCGCGACATCTGGTCATGGATTTGCCAGACAAGGAGGGTAGTAGCAACGATCGATTTGTTTTACTCACCGATAAGAAGAGCAGCTCGGTAACCGGTCTCTACCAGCCACCTCTTCGGACCCACAGTAACGCTTCACCGACATTGTTCGAAGCATGTCTCTCCCGGTCTGTGATTCGTCTTGACCGCGGCGACATCCGCCCACCTTGGCGCCGTCCAAATCCTGCACGAAAGATCACCGGAGTCCTTGCCGACGACATCATCGGCGCTTGTACCGATGGCACGATCTTCTCTTTCTCCATTCTCTCTTCATCCGCCCGTCTACTGCTCCGTCTCATACAGAACCTGATCGAGGTCAAGGCCAATCGTTCGGGCGCCCACAAACACGACACGGTCAAACCTCGTAGTGGCGATATCTTCAATGTTCTCATGAATAACATCCCTGGCAATCAACACGGCGAGATTCTGGTTAGGGATGTAGATCCACGGTATCTAGGTCAAAGCCTCCAACGAGGCGCCAAGCACAAGCATATTGACGGCGACTTGCTGAAGAACTGGCTACATGAGGATGGCGATCTGAGGAGTTTGGTATGGAATAACGCAGATCAAGAGGTCAGAAAGCTCTACCAGAAATTCGCGCTGGATGTCGAGGAAAGATGGGGAACGGTGAATACTGGGGAGACCAATGGGCACGGGAAGCAGCAGTTGTGCGAACACGTAAAGAGATGGATGAGCGAGGTACTCATGCCTGTGCTATAAGAGTGGAGGCGTCCCTACTACAGCTGGCTACAATTCATGTCGCATCCGAGAAGAAAAGTTATTTGAGGTAGAAGCACGCGTCGTCTTCGAAAATACTTGTTGAGATTCAACAGTGTGCGTACGAAGAAGAACGTCCCCTTCACCCATACCCTGAGTAAGTCATGCCATCTCATGTCGCACACTGTTCGTCCACAACCACGCAACACAACTATGAGACAACACTGTCTCTCAAGCATCGTGTAAACAGAATCACATAAAACTCATCACTACTTAAACTTAGCAGAACCAGCTTTCACACGCCATCCTGCCAGTTTGCCATTTTGCCATACTGCCATTTTGCTATGCCATCATGCCCACAATGAATCTCTTCTGCCTCTCCCTCACCATCAACAAGCCAAAGAAGAAGGAGTCATCTTTCAATTTCATCCGCCTTCATCCGAAACCACATATTGAACCCCTCGTTACGCCGCCTGCTTCCCCATTAGTCTCGGCTCCTTCTGTTCCTCCTCCGGCTGCTGCTACTTCTCCCCCGCCACCGAAGCGATGCGAGTCTCCAGTTTCGCAGCCTGAATCTGGGGCGTCGAAGTTCACCGAGCGGCTTGAACTTCCGCCCAGCTTTTACGAGACGTCGTTTTCGGAATCGACGCGTGAGTTGGTTCCGCAGCCGTTGGACTTGCAGGCGACCGACACTTCCGAGGCGCGACGTAGCGATGCAGTGAGTACTTGTCACTAGGTGGGTACTGGCAGGGAATAACAAGTACAGGTACATCCTTATCTAAGGACTTCGGTGTATGGGGTTGTTGATAGTGCGGATCGCGATGGGTATGTTGAAAGGGTTTGTGACGGGGACATGAAGAAAGCTGGCTCAGTAGATTTGGTGAGGGTGTGATGGGGATGAGTAGTTTGGGAAGAGCGACATGCAATGGGCACTTCATCGTCTCCAGTATGGAATCAGAAATAGTAGCATTGCTTAGGCGTCTAATCTGATTCTTCCCGCTTGTTGAAATGGTTCTTGCTCGCTAAAAATGTAGCTGAAGTGCTTCATATCAACTTTCAACGAATCGAGAATAGATGAAAGATGTAATTATTGACCTGGCGCACCTGTGATGTACAAGAAGAGCAAGGTGAAGAGCCTCACAGCTCATACGGTGACCGTGCCCTGTGTTTCTAATTGATCTTTGAGCCGCATCTTCAGCCTTGCCGTCAGACTCACTTCCTTACCCTTGAGGCAGCCATGCATGAGCAAGGCTGGGGTATCATCGGAAGCCTATTGCCCTGGCATAGCCTTGTGACGTGTCAAAGGGCACACTCACGTTACAGGAGCCCCGGCGCTTACCAGGCTATGGTGGTCGAGTGATTGGGTCGTCACTGCTCGACTGTACATCTAATCTCGTGATGCATCGAAGGGCACAGTGGCGTTTTGTACTAACCGCATTAGTATGAGGCCCTTCACAGCCTCGCAACAGCGAAACCGTGTGTAGTAGCCATCGCCAACCTCGCGCATCGGCCTTGTCTTTCGCTCTCGAAACTCACCTCCTTGCCGTCAGTACAATACCAACGAAAGAGTGTTACCGCGCGACCTTTGTTTGATCAAGTTTCGACAACCTCAGCGGCCGAACAAGGCTCTCCTCATCCATCAGTCTACAACATTCCTGGGCGCTCAGAACCGAGCGCTCCCAAATTCAAGCTCCTCGAGAAGATTTTCGACATGTCTTCACCTCCTGCATTCGAGGACACCCGCGAAGAACGCTTGGACAGGGATCCTCCGAACCATGAATTTGTGGCTAGCGAGGCTGGCCGCCCGTAAGTTTTTTTTTTTACTAACCTACTCAGCCCTTGCGTTTCTCTCTTTTCGTCTTGGCAAAACGATAACCAATACCTCCACACCGTCGAAGCGAGCCAAGCGCTAGTGGAGGACGCCCGAGCCGTGTGGAACGGTGACGCCGATCACCTACTGGGTAACAATGAAGTACCCGCCGACGTCAATGGCATCCATTCTTTCGATCAGGACTTTGTCAACGCCATAGCCCCAAATGCCCTCGACATCAGTGTCGCTCCACAAACTGACGGAGGGAACACTATACCACATGTCTCCCTACCCCAGCCTCGCACCCAAGTCTCTGTCGCTCCGGTCATACCTTCGATCATACCGTCGGTGAACAACCAGGTCCAACATGCCAATGCGACTGCTTCTCGCCAGTGCCCCTATGGGTGCCCTAACACTTTCGGTCGTCCTGGAGAGTACCGCCGTCATATGAAGAAGCACAACGGCCCCTTCTTCCCCTGCACTCGCCCTCACTGTGGTAGAATGTTCTATCGCCAGGACAAGTTGAATGATCATCTTAACAAAGGTCACTGATGGAGGGTATTCGCATGGAACAACCGCCTCCAGTCTTGACACAAGGCAGTTTAGCTAATGCCAACGGCGCCCCGAGAGCATGAAGCAAAGGTGGATTGCAAAGTAGGTGAGATTGACGGAGGATTTCATTTGTATTTCAGTACTCGGTGTCTGTGAGCTCGCATGTATCTCTTTCTGTTACATAAACCAAACACAATGACAGTAACGTGTTACGATACCTCGTCCCTTCCTCTATATTTGAAACGAAGTGATTGCGCATGCAGAGAGTGAGATTTCTTCCGCCAGAACGGCGTGGTGAACAGTCTGGAAGGTCGAGGACCAATGGTGTCTCGTACATTCAACGAAAATAACGGGCCACAAAACTCATCATAGGCGTCTGCTCGATTTCGCAGGCGAGCCACAAACATCGAGTCAGCCTCGCCGTTCAACGAGAAGACTTGAGCATCAGCCGGACAGCCCGACGTCGTTACGCTTACCATTATGGAAGCATCATCTGCGGCCTCTTTAGTCCAAAGTAAAACGCTAAAGAGATCCCTTATCTTCATCAGATGCTGTTGGAGCGATGCAGCCGATGATCTAACAATATGCACGTCTTCATCCGCGGCTCCTTGGCACATCTCTTGGATGAGAGGCTCGTCGATGAAGCCGAGAAACATGACGCATAACCAGCCTTTACGAACTTCGGACTTGACGGCGTGTAAAGGTTGGAGAGCTCTACATATGTGCCCGAAAGTGGGTTCAAGAAGTAAAGGGTCTACTAAGTCGAGCGAAAGTCGTCGGATGATGTCTGGTATGCGATGGCAGTACGGTAAGCTTTCGGGGAAGTCAAAGTCGCGGGTCTCGCGTAGGTGGTTGGATGCTGACTCCAAAACCTGTGAGAAAGGCAGTACCTCCGTAACGCGCCCGAGTTGTATCGCATCGAGAGTAAGTTCTTTAGGCCGTACAACGGCGTTATGCTTCTTGTTGGGCTTTAGACGATCTTCAAGTCGTGTCAGGATAAATGGGGCCATTTCTCCGTCTCGAAGTTGCATGGGAACTCCAAGAGATGGTGGAACAGCATACAGCCAGCTCATCCGGCCTTCTTGAACCAAGGCATTTACGATAACCTCAAGTGCTTCATTGGCACTGTGTGCTGGGTTTGGCTTCACATTCTTGAGTCGCAGCATACCACACAAGGCATAGTACTTGTCCGAAGGTACCGTCGCGCTAAGCGTGGAAGCTAGCTGCAATACATTCGCGTCGCATAGCTCGTATGTCTGGGCTTCGTCATAGTTCTGCCTGAGATACCACAATCTCCTGCACCAAGACGCAAACTCATCAAGCCATGTCTCTTCCAGGTTACGGCGGTATAGGAGCGCAGCAATCACAGCCGTGTCGGCAAGGGAGAGCCACTCGCCACTATCATCCCAGGTCAGCAAGTAGTTCTGACTGAGCAGTATCTCTTGTAGAATCCATGCTCTCTCGCGCCACGTCGCATGACACAGGATCCTCAGCGCGTTGAGGGCTACCTAGGTAATGTCTCGAGCTCTGAGGCAATCTCCGGCAGCGATGTGCACGATTGACACAGAAGACAACTGTGCGGAACCATTTGCGCGATGTCTCTGAGCCTCAGCGGGCCAGACAATGGGCAGTGCATGCGCCTCTTAACTTCCAGCACTGGGCTTAGATCCAGCCCAGGTACTCGCAAGAGCAGGATCGTGCATCGCGCCTCATAGTATATCTCATCCATGCGCGGTATCCAATACGACTTGTCCTCGCTCGACTCCTGATCGATGCACATGCAATCTAACCAACAGCGAGTCGCCTTCCCCGTGATAGCTTTCATGCCCGGAGAGGCACGCTGTCCCAGAAGGGACGTCAGCCGCTTCTGGAGCGCTGCCCAGCTCGGGAGCCTATCCGATGCATTATCTCGCCATTCGCTCCAAACGTATGATACCGCAACGTGGGTACAGAACCCGCTCGTGAGGTAGGCGTGGCGGTCTATCTGGCGGTGGAATAAGGACGTGTTCGGGTCTATGAGGGCAAAGGCTGATCGGGTTGACGAGAGATGCGATTTCGGGAGTTTCGCCGCCATTCAGACATGGTCATAATCATGAAGCCGGTGCGCTTGGTGCGGTTGGAACACAGATGACGGAAGGGCTGAGAGACAGAGCGCGTGAGGGTTGAGGAAGCATCGACTTCGGGACCACCTCGCCCGCGGGAGCGATGAAGCGACCATAGCTATCTGGGTCTAGCCCCTTATCTCTCTCCAGCGCGTCTTAGAGAACGCGTCGAAACACACTAAGGAAACGTCAAATTCATCTACAGCTCGATACTATCCAAAGTCCTGTACTGCCTTCAGGCTTGTTTGGCCGACCATCTTATCATTATGCGTGGTGCTATCCCAAGTGCTCTACCGTCTAACCAACGACATGGCCCACACAGCTGCACCGCTCAGTCAATGTGTCAATGGCACCTCTGCAGTCACTTGCCAATGATTCTTAGCTATCTGAGCCATTCCAAGATATAGCCTCACAACTTCGACAGCAACGTGACAGAAGGTGTCAGAGATAGGCGTGGCTGTGGATGCATCGCAAGATCGCGACCCCCGATGACGATAACGCGATGACGTCGTCTGAAACCGCAACAGCCCAAAACACGTCTGACATGTGAAGGACCGGTAGCACAGACACGCTACACCGACTATCTCCCGTCTCGAGGCTATCGACAGCAAAACTTCGCTTTCCATCTGTCCGAGCCACTAATCACTCTATCTCGAGCCTCAAAAACTTGTCAAGCGTGTCTCAGCTTGCACTCGACCGGTCAACAGCAAGGCTTTTCCGAAGCCGGAAAACACATTCTAGCCGATATCAAATGCACGATGGCGAGCCTCTTGCTCGCGGCCCTGAAAATCTCAGCCGCACTAACGGCTAACAGTGGGTCCGCACGCGTTATCATCACTCCACTTAGCGCATGAGGCGAGCGTGGCGCATCATCTTGATGTGGTTCGACGTAAATTCTCGAAACGGTTCCGGGACAAGTCGGGATGGTGCCTGTTGCGCACGATTTTTTGCTCACCAATTTTTCGTTGGTGACTGTTTTCAGGGTCATGTTGGGAAGGCGCGGCGAAGGCGGAGGTGTATAAGAGGGATGTGGCTCTGGGGTTTCGGCTTCTTTCATCCACATCCACATCTGCATCTATTCCACTTCATATCAGACGAAGAAACATACGTCATATCATCATATCTCAACCTCAATCAAATATCTAAACCACAGTCAAACATCAAAATGCCTTCTTTCAAGGGTACGTTGTTTCTCCATCAAGGTTTTGGTTTTTCCTAACAATGCATCCAGACTCCGTCTCTTCCACTCCCGCCGGTGCCTCAGGTGCCCCAACCCCAGCCTCCACCTCGGCACCCACATCGACTCGCGAGACTCTCCACGCCGCATCTGCCGCACTTGGTCTGACCTCCCAGGGTCTTGACCTCTGCCCTCACTGCTTCCGCGAGATGTCGCACTGCAACGAGCGCTTCGAGTTCGCTTAAGCGTACTACAACCCAAACTCAACTGGCGACAGTTGAGCACACTCGGCATTGTACTCTATCAGCACCTTCCTCCAGTGCGACAGCGAACGCTGGCGTTTTGAGACCGAGGGGCTACGACTTTCATATTTTCGGCATGGCATTGGGTATTGGATGGACGGCATAAGCGGCGTTTATTCTGGGATGGGGGAAACTTACAGGAAACGGCATACCCTACTTTGAGCGATTGTACATCATCATGAGGATAGAATCTTCGTATCGCATCTCAATCGATTAAAAACATTCTTCGATCATGCTTCAACATTAGTCACTTTTCGTGTCCTGGTTCCCCTCAGCTGTGAGATGGTATTGCCGACCGTGACATACAGCTGGTGCCGCCACGTTGCGATACTGGGAAACCTGCTTGCGCAGTCTGCTGTATTCTGTTCACGAAAATGTTATCTATAGCCCTGAAGCAGCTGAAATGTAAATTACAAAGGAGATGTTCCCAGTGGCGAGGGTATTGATAGGCTGACGTCATCGCGAGCTTCTGCATTCTGCTGTTCAAATCTCACTGCAGCGTCCCAAATCTGCAATTCGCATCTTGTGTGGGCTCAATGCGTCCAGTATACGACGGACGCGATATAGTCGGTGTGCCCAGGTGGGTAGTCTGGAGATACGCGCAGCCGCTACCCCGCCGATACCCGGACGCAGCTTCCACAGAGCGTTAGTCAACACCATGCACATCACGATAAGACTTTTCTTCAACACCAAGCTTTTCTCTCTCTCATTCCCATGCCAAATCCCAAGCATGGCTATCGCCCAAGAATTCCGACGTCCTTCGACCATTCAAGAGGAGGAGACCACACCCCTCCTGCCGCGCGATGAGCCCAAACCAAGAGAAGAAAAAGCGGCCGTCCCGGTGTTATTCCGGGCTTTGATATGCGCGTTCCTCGTGTCGTTGACATTCAGTATCACGCAGGCTCCTATGCTATACGCTTTCCGAATTTTGACCTGCGATGCGTATTACGAAAATCATGAGCCGGATCCGAATGCTGCGGATAAATGTGCGAGACGCGAAATCGACGCTGGAGCGGCCAGGGCTTTTGCACTACTTGCATCATCGACTACGATATTCGGCCTCGTCAATTTGCTGGTAGCTGCATGGACTATCAAACGCCTGGGCGTCAAGTTGGCTTTGATCATTCAGATCTTCTGGCCTGCGGTCCGCCTTCTGATCCAGAACATCGGTATTATGCATGGCGGCAACGTCGGCATCATGATCGTGCAATGCTCGCAAGTCATCACAGTAGTTGGTGGCCCGAATGGATACGTTTTGTGCCTCAATTCTTTGGTGGCGGACGTCGTCGAGCATGAGAAGCGTACAGGTGCATTGGGCAGACTCCAAGGCTGCATGTACTTCGGGAGCGCCATTGGTTTCTTGATCGGAGGTGTCGTTGGCGACTACTTTGGCATACTTGCGCCCTTCCGAATGACTTT